ATTTGTACAATTCGGCAAAAAATATAAACAACAGAAAATGAACCACAATCGAATGTCGTTCGAACTGATAAAGACAGATGGAGCTATGTCGCACAATACAGTAGATTACATTATTGTATTAATTTTTTTAGACCACTAGACCATCTAGTTCGTGAACTGTTACGTTAAAGTAGATGGGAGGTCCTAGTGATAAAAATTTTTCTCGTTATTATCGCTCATTAGTAGCTCGTGCTGAGCGGCACTTTCATGTGATGTTTGGGCTATCAACTAGGTCGTTCATGCCGGCAGGGGGGCCTTAGCGACTGTCAGATCACAGAGTTGTCCCTGTGAGGCTGCCACAACCTTACCTGGATATGCGTTTGTGTGGACATTTCACCGTCTTCTAATTTACATTAGCCGATTTGACTCCCACCTCGTTGAGTCCAGCTTTATGGATCATTTTACCGACCCCAGAGAGTTCAGTGGTGCTCGTTTTTACGATTTGCCAAACTAATTATATACCGCGCGTTGTCGTAAAAGCGAGCGAAATGAAGTTAAGAAAACAGTTACGTGTTAAGTTTGCGGCGTGGGTATACAGGGTGGCCGGGAAATGGAGGGCGGTCTATTTGTTGGGTTTGAGCATATCTTGCAAGAGTTTATATGTTTTTAATAAAAAAAAATCTTGTTTGCTATCGGATGATGAAAATACCATACTATTTATGCCATTTTAATAGTAGTAAAAAGTGAAAAATAAATTGGTTATTTTTGGAGCAAAATACATATATTTTTTGTGCCTGTTCCAATATCCGAAGAGGCAAGGAACATAAATTGAAACAAAAGAAAAACAAATATTTATCATTATTTAATATTATCAAGATGTAAATCAAAAAGTGTTCAATTTAATTTAATTTATTTTTGGAAGACGTACCCAAATCCGAAAGATTGCCCGCCATTTTTTGGACGCCTTGGTACAGGGTGACTCAGAACTGATTGTTGGTCGTCGTTTCAGAAAAACGGAAACAAATAATATAGGAAACCACAAGCAGTATTTGACTTAAAATTTCATTTTGGTAGGTCTACAGCTCTAAAAGCTATGCCACCGAAATTAATTTTCCCAATTCCATACCTATTTTTTACATCATATGCAAGTTTTCATTATTCTCAACGAGTTTTATAAAAAAAAAATTGTTCATTTATTTGATTATCTATTCTTGTTTAAAAGATATAAAAAGATAAGTGTAGAGAAGAACACTGGTTTGATCAAGTCTGTTACTGATTTTACCAGCATTGCCTTAGAAAACAAGACACCTTCAATGTTTACATGCATTATTGACGTAAACAATTTGTCTCTCTAAAACCAACTGCTACTTCGAATATTTTCCCAGAAATCAGAATCGCATCTACTTTTTTATTGAGCATTAATTTTGTTAATAAATGTTTAGTTAGTTTACTCAAAAACAATGAAAACATGTCAGTAATGAATAGGTATAAACCTTTGACTATGTGTATATAGTCAAGGTATAAACATTGAAACCTTCTTGTTTTCTAAAATGTCAAAACCAGTAGGTATAGACTAGAACTGTTAATGTTTAGTTTCTCTTTTATCTTTTGAAAGGGGAGATATATGGAAAAACCTTTTTTAATAAAAGTTGTTGAGAAAAAAGCAGATTTTTCGATTTGCTTATTCTGTTTCCATGTAATGGCGCCCAAGTTCTGGGTTACCCTGTATAATGGGTCAAGTATAGTTTTTAAGGTAAATAAAAGATTTCATTCCAAAGGAAAAATTTCGTAGGTTCGTTATACTTACAGAATGTTGAAAGTTAAAATAACTGGTCGACATAAATAGTTGAATAAGTATATGTAAAATAACAATAAAACTAATATATTTCAGTAAATTCACTCATACGAATTTTTGGGAAAGTCCAAAAAAATCATTGGTGTAGGCATCTTTGATTTTCTAGGGATAATAACCCCACAGAAAAATTAAAATTGTTACACCAACGAATTTTTTGTCTGTATTGTATTTAAAATAGTATTTTTAACGAAAAAATCCAGTAACATTTTTCGTTAAACGAAACAGTTGGGCATTTCCGATTTATTCAATTATGTTCTCTTAGGCTTATTTTGGATTTAAAAAAATAATAGCTCAAAAATGGCTAGCTTTTCGAATAAAACGGAATTTAATCCAGTTTACAATGCACTTATCCAAGTTAAAAAATTCTCAGTGGCGTCAAAATTCTAGGGTTGACAGATTTGTATACTGTGTCAATTTTTGCCCATAATTAGTTTAAGTTTCATATTTTTGTTCAACAGATTAAAAATACAGAAACAGTATAAAGTATTATTTTTAATATGTTAGCAATACCAATTAGATTAAATTATATTTATAGGAGACAATGAACTAATATGGACTATACATCCATCCGTATTATTATGACTTGCTTAAATATAGACCTACTCTTAAGAAAAAGTATCAGTGAAAGGTACGGGTTTATGTATAACTGCTTGTAATATCATGTTATCAAAAAAGTGTGTCCTAACAAAATTATCCAAGTTTAAAAAATAATTAAATTGCCCCTACTATGCGCTGAAGTTTTATATGGATATACGATGTCCTTATGATCATAATATTCAAAAATTTCGATAACAGCAAAGTCACCTTTACAATTTTACTTATTTAGACATTATTAGGAATACCGAGGGCCCATATTATATATTGTTTATTTATACCTACCTATATTTTGTCAATCTCTCAATATAATTCAATCTTGCTCAACAACTTGCTATTTCAGATTTGATTTATTAAAGAATTTACAAAAATACCTACGTGTTCTTGCTAATACTATGTTGGTATAATGCACCATGTCTAAAGGTATATCGCTAAAATTGTTAAAGAGTCAAATTGTTTGTGAGATAAAAATAATATTCATGTAAAATCACGCTGCTTGTATTTGTATCTCCAAAACGAAACTATTTCAGTTAATTCGTAAAGTCAACAATTAACTTCATCCAATGATATTAGGTACCTACACCTCGTATAGATAATATGCGGCTTCCCCAGATTTATTAACACTTACCTAGGTACATTATTTAATTTTAATAAATAAAATAAAAAAATACCAATAACGTAAGGTTATTATTTTGATAAAAGCTTTTGGAGAGCCATATCTCCGGAGATCCAATGTTTATAGGAACTTTTTTTTTACTATTTTTGGCTCTGTTTTCACCTCTTTAAATTTGGTACTAGTTTTTCCAAACAGATTTTCAAACTATAAGCCTTTAACGGGTCGTTAAACTCTCATCAATGTAAATGTGTTATTGTAAATGGTGTAGAACTATGAGCTGCTTTGTGTTCTATTTTATTTAAAAAAAAAATCGCCTCTTTTATCAACTGAACTTTGTGTACCTATTAATGTTTGATCTACCCTTTTTACTTGCCATCATCCATGCTTTTAACCTTTTATTTTGCAGTCCAATCATTGCAAACGATGTGGTTTTACTTAATCCTGATACCTACCTAGGTTGAAATTTATTTTAAAACAAATGTTTCCTCAAAGTTGACATTAAATGCTGGTAATCCACGTTACAACTAAAGAAACGAACAAAAATAGGTACATATCAACATTTATCCTTTTGACACAGCAACTACATACCTAATTCCAAAGGGATCAGTGAAATATTGAACACATAGGTATTCTTTTTATTTAAGCAAACAAAAATTTACATAAAATTACTATGAAAACTAATTATTATATTTTTGTTTCATAAGTTATCATAATATTATTGGAAATCTGAATATCAATTTCCTTAACTGTGACTCAAACTCTTACAATGTCAAAGTGACTACAGTGATATCAGTACTTCTCTCACTAGTCACACTGTCAAAATTCTTTATTAAAACTATGTTTGTGTCCCCCAACAAATAAATTACATAGTAGTCAATATCATTTAATCATTCTCGTATTTAAATAGGATATTTATATATTTGTAAAAAGAAACACTAACCCTATGTTATTTTATTATTAACTTCATAGGCATCACATCCACGTGTACTTACCTACATTTATTTATTCCTTAAATTTTCATCAGCTTTAACAATTGTTTTGTGTTTTACACTATTATTTATTAAATGTAAAATTCATTCATCTACACAACAGTCTGAGGAAAGATTTAAGTACTTAATGTATCATAAAAATGGATACTTATTTCACTGCTCACTAATAATATTGAATACATTTTTTGATTAGCCAATGATTGGAAGAAGCATGAAATAAAAAAAATATTTTCCGCATTTTGTCAAATTGAATGAATGTAGGTATTAGCTTTTATAGATGGTGGTTAAATTAATTTAGATCGGTAGATACCCGTAAATATGTTTTACTGGATATGACGTAAGTAACTATTCAGTATTTCTGAAGATCGTAAATGATTGAAGACATAAAATTTGCCAAGTTAAAAATTTTTCCAATGCTGTCACAAAATTCTGTGTCTATTTCCCCACGTAATTATCAACGTATTCGATTAGACGGCTTTATTCCAAATCGGTTCGGCTCTAATTTGTTAAATACAATGATTTGCCGGATACTACTAAATTACGAGTTTATCGAGCTGCCAAAATTCCACGGTGCAGAAGTGCTCACCCATCACTATAATTTATTCGGATAAAAATGGTCACTTAAAAGCACAACAATACCCATGCGGATCAACAAAAGTGCGGCAAAACACTATAATACACGGACTTGACATAAACCTAACCTAAAAATGAAGCGCCTGCAAGTCTACAAGGGCGGGATATCGCCTAGGAACTCAACCAAGCCCCTCCCTCGCGTCCTTAAATCAGGATAAAAACGGGTCCAAGACACGCCGGCTTCGGCCCGCACACCAATGAGAAGGCTATTAGGCGGTGTTACGAGTCCACAACGCTGAATGGTAGCGAGATCTGCCGGTTGAGAGGCGCAACTAAAAGGCCAAGCTAACTATTATATGATTATTCTTCATTATAGTCCCTACGCTCGTAGGAAGTAGATGGTTGGTTTAGAACGATCAATTTTCGACGTAAAAAAACGACATATGCGCTCAATTTCGTGTAATTTGGTTTCGGGTTAATCTTCAAATAGTTTTTACTCAATTATAGTGTGAATTACACCTATTATCGCAGTTGAATATAGTAAATTGCTCTCGGTCGTTTGATTAACGTTATTAACTCTCTAAACTATTCTCATTATTTCCATTTTGATTTACTTATCGGATTCTCGCCTTTGTTTTGGTTTCGCCGTTTTTATTTTTGGTGATAGTGAACGTACAACCAGCGAGTGTGTGTGCTACCGATATTTCCGACTACCTACGTCGCCGCTATTTCGAGAGACACGGATAGTGACCGGAAGTGACTCTGCATTTCTCGGGGGACGTAGCCGTGTCGCGACATCTTCAAGACGCCTCCGAACTTCACCAAAGTGGATAACAAACCGTTCACGACGCTGAACTTCACGGACCTGGGGTCCCCCTTCGGGGGGCCAAACGACGATCCCCCCGGGACGCCCACCATGTCCGGTGAGGGCCACATCGGCCCCCCGACGCCCCACGAGTCCAACAACTCCACGCCGGTGTCGAAGAGCGCCTTCATCGAACTCCAGCAGCACGGGTACGGGCCCCTGAGGACGACTTACCAGCACCACTTCAATTCGCCGGCGGGAAATGCGCATTCCGGACCGACGGGGGCCCACGACGGGGGCTTCCCTAGTCCTAGGGGTGCCCTCGGCGCCTACCCTTTTCCTCCCATGCACCAGAATTCGTACACGGGATACCACTTGGGATCGTACGCCTCGAACTGTCCGCCTTCACCCAAAGATGATGGTGAGTACCGCTAGGGATACTGTGCGTATTCGGAAGTGTGGTTAAATTTTAAAGTTTCACGAGTCTGTGGGTCGAGGAATGGGAAGCGAGTTTCTTTTGGGGTTTTCGAGGAATTTTCTTAAGGGAGATCTTAGAAAATGTTGATCTGCAGCATTTAGCACCAGGATCTCGCTTACCTTATAGTAATATCAGTTAAAATAGACAAAATTATTCGCCTGACGTTGAGAAAATTAAGAAGGTTATCTTTTGGCTTATCAATTTAAAGAAATATTGGCAAAATTAATATTTCCATGTATTGTCTATTCTCTTCAAATTAATGATGATTTCTATCAAGCTTTAAGCAAGCAATTAATAATAAATTATTTTCTTGGATAGTGCGTAATAATATTCAGGCAGATTGTCCAAAATCCTTAAACATTTCATAAATTTAAAAAATTATTGAAAATCTACCTTAGCTACGACTTTATTTGGCTTTGGTAGTTACAGATTATCAAAAAAGACGCCAAACAGGAACTAGGAAAGAGGAAATAATAAAAAAAGATCAATAGTCAGATCAGCAGAAGTGTTGTGAATGAAAATCGAGTTTCTTTTGAGGATTTTGAGGAATTTTCTTAAGGGAGATCTTATAAACTGTTGATCTGCAGCACTTAGCACCATTATTTCGCTTACCTTTATAGTAACATTAGTTAAAATAGAGAAAAATATTCAGCTGAGGTTGAGAAAATTAAGGAAAATTTCGTTTGGCTTAATAAATTTAAAGAAATAACGGAAAATTGAAGATTCCATGTATTGTCTATTCCCTTCAATTGACGATAATTTCTATTAAGCTTTAAGCAAGCAATCAAAAATAAAATCATTATTTTCTTGGATAGTGCGTAAGAGTATTCATAGATTGTCCGAAATCCTAAATATTATTTATCTTTCATAGTTACAGATTTTTTTAACAAGACGACAAACAAGAACTATTCGGTTTTTGAACATAATATAAAATTAATATTGTTATTGCACACTATAGTATAAAAATTCATTCTTATTTCCACATCTACTAGTGTATATTCTATAAGAGGAAATAATAAAAAATATAGATATCAAGTAAAGTCTAGTTATAGGTGAAAAATTAGATATTTGGGAGACAAATTTTGTTTCCATTTCATAAGTAAAATATATTTAATAGACAAAAAGATCAGTGAATGAAAATTGAGTTTCTTTTGGGGTTTTCCGTACTTCGAAGAACTTTCTTAAAATACTTCGTATAAACTTCTGATCTGTCGCACTCAGCAAAAGAATCTCGCTTAATTTTATAGTAACGACAGTTAAAATAAAGAAAAGTATTCGGCTTAGACCTGAAGATTGACGGAATTTTTCTTCCGTCTATTCTCTTCAATACAATAAAATTTATATTCAGTTCTAAGTAGTTGAAGTAATTTGATGTTCATAAAAGTACCGATAGCTTGTCCGACATTCTGAAACATTATTACCTACCTACTAATTAAGTATTAGCTATTACAGATTTTTAATTAAGTAATATAATTGCTGTTACTATAGTATAAAATATAAAATCAAAGTAATAAGTTCAATCCCGTTCCTAGAAAATTCTAAGATATCCTGATCATATATTTTTTTAAAACATCAACAATGAATTATGTAGGTATATCTATTTTACTATTCTGTCTATGTGGATATATATTTTCACAAATTCTTTTTAAAAAGTTTCTTTTCAATATTACCATTTTGTTGTAAACTAAAACACTGGAATAATTGTTCCGACGATTGGAAATATGTTTGTACATATTACTTTCCATATATTATATTCTTATAAATAATATGTTGTGTGTTCTGGAATTCAGCATTTATTTAAAAACAAATCTGGAGTCCTAAGAGTTTTCGAAGTCCTTCGTCGGTAAAATCAAGACTAGAAATATTATGTATGCACCTAACTACTACGTAAATAAAAATGTTAATAAAATTGTTCTCAGCTGTTGCTCTGTGCAGCTAAATTTCAATATTTTATGAATCAATGTAAATTCGAAAATGGAAATCGAATTTCTTTTGGATTTTCCGAGGAAATTTCATACAAAACTTCTTGTAAATTGTTGATCTACAACACGAAAATCTTTTGTATCTTATAGTAGCAACAGTTAAAACAGACGAAGAGTACCTAGGTACTAAGTTGAAATCTGACATTGATGAAAGTTATCGTTTGGCTTTACGAATTTCAAAAAATAATTAATAAATTTAAATTTTTATTATAAAATACCTGCAGTAGTTATGACATTTTTTTGAGTTTTAAAAATAATTTTAGAATCTATCTAACTAGTATTAATTATTTGGCGATTATTTTAAGTGGCTTTGATGGTTAGGTACCTAGGTAGGTAATAATAAAGTAGGTATAATGAATAATTCATATTTTTTACCATAACATACCACAAAATACACTACTAATATACCTACCTATATATAATAAATAACTATGCCAAAAAGAATAAAAATCATGATCATCTTTATACTTACTCATAGGTATATTTTGTAAGAGGAGATAATGAAATACATAATTCAAATATGTTATTGTACATATTTTTTAAGAAAAGGATTACAGTTAGTAAAACTGAGTTTGGATGTTAATATAATACCTACATAAGTATAACTAGGCAGAGGTCAAAAACTATAAATATTTGAAAACTATTTTTATTTACAGAGTTCTATTTACGCTTTTTAGGTATATAAAAAAAGTAAGCAAGAACCTACAACCTCTTGAAAAGAGACAAACATTTCATCATTAAATATCATTTGGATAGAAAATATTACTTTATTCATCTATAACAGATTTTTTGAGTAGCAGTGATAAACAGAAAAATAAACAGTAAATAAACAAACACGTCCTGGTTTTTGTAAGACATATTTTATGTTGAAGTTAGATTTATGAATATTTATAATTTTATGAATGTGTAACCATTATGTTACTTAGCACAATGACGTACTGACAAGCTGTAGATTTTTGTTTAATTATTCCGTGAAAATGGATTATATACCTATTTCCACAAGTTCATTTCGATACCACCAATTTGTTGTATACTAATGTATTGGAATTCTTAGGTGTTCCGACGATTAGGAACATTTTAGTATACAACTAATGTTAATGTATTTTATTCCTATAAATATGTTATGGAAGAATTCAGCATTTATTTAAAAACATTTCTAGAGTCCTGAAAGTTTTTTTGTAGTACAGAATTCTCCATCGGTAGAATCATGGCAAGAAAAATTATGTAGGTACCTAACTACATACTAAATAAAAAAAATCTTATAGTTTCTAGCTGCAATGATTGTTTCGTATTTATTTTTATGTGGGGAATTACCTTTTCATCTTCAATTTTATTAGTGTTCATAACATTTTGCCAAGTCATTCGATTTATGTGTTGTATACGATTTAAACAAAATAAATATTAAATAGATACCATAAATTTTTAATTAAAAAGACTGAATGTATCATGATACCATTTTAAAACAATAATTTATAAATTTTTTTATGTACCTATGTTTGGAAGCACGTCTAAAGTTATTTTTTGTGGCACAGCATTTTTCTGATTATTAAGGTATTATGGGCCAAGGGTTATTTTTCTGAAAATAGTTTAGCCTAAGCAAAAATCTGATACTGAAAAAAGCATCAGAGAAATATAAAATACACATCACTATATGTTCCACATATTAAAAAATTGTTAAACTTTTCAAAAAACTGTTTTGGTCTTCAGAACTTATATTAAACTTCGACAGTTTAAATTTTTTTGTTTTTCTTTGTCTCCGCAGTTAGAGATGTTTATTCTATTATTACTTAAGTACTTCAACTTTTATGAGTTACTCTAGCATACAAGGATCCAAGTCACAAAGTAATTTAAAACACATTTTTCACCACTGAACAAAATAATGGCGATCTCTTTTAATTTTTTTTAACGGTGTTAATTTGCTTGTCTAAAATTTTGGCGGAATCCCATTAAATTATATGACCGTTGCCTCAAGCGTAATCGCAAATTTTTGTTTTGTTTGTTTGTTTGTTTTTGTATTTTGAAAATCAGTTTTTGGGCACGTTTTTAACAGTAAAAGTAGGTAGTAGTTGTCTAAAAAACCGTTCTAACTTTACATTTTTTCGATAATACACGAATATATGAAATTTTTCTCTAACTTAATTTGTCTTGCTTCTAATACTCTTAAAATCTCAAAACTCAAAATCCCCAGGGTGATTGTTTATTAGTAGGTACATTTTTTTATGAATTTTAATTCTTTGTTCAAAATTTTATCTTTCGAGGATATCAATTTGGCTAGGAACATTTTATTACACCGTCTTTTATATCAATAGGATTATGATGCGAATTCAAATTTAGATATCTGTTAGTGTTAGTTGATTTCCTATAAATACTTGTTTCTGAAGAATTGCTAATTTTTTTTTATTAAAATCTGTAGAAAGGGTATTATTGTTTCCTATTTTTAAAGTAAATATAATTTTTGGTTCTTTGTTCTTCAGAAAAAATATTTAATTCCTCAATGGCAAAAGCCAAATTGTCTCCACCAAATATGATGTGCTTTTTATTTAAACTGTCAACATAATTTTCTTCAAAAAAATCCATGAATATGTTACTTAAAATTGGTTATAATGAAAATCCCATTGCCATTTCTAGATCTCATTGATAAAATTCATTATTTCATTGAAAATAAGTAGGTACCTATTAGTTTTTATGTATAATCTTAATTATACATCCTATACTTTAGTTCTACCTGTCAAACTGTTATCATTTTCTAATTTATTTTTGATAATATTCAATGTTTTAACGATAAACGTAACATGTAAAAAATATAAAAATGTAAATCAATGTAATCTTTCTGTCTGTCTGTTTAATATTCAGAAGTCGAGAGGTCTCCATAAATTGTAATGTTGTGAATATCATTATTTGGACGTGGTTTTCCGTATCAGTATCAATGTGTGAGCTAATATTAAATTTGTTAGTTATTTTCTCTACTTTTTCCGATAATTTTCATTGTTTAACTATTTCTCTGTTGTCTCTGGCTCTATCTTATATTCTTCATATCACTATGACGATCAGAACTAAAATTTAGATGTAATATTTTTAATTTTTTCCCATTTCTAAAGTGAAGTTAATCAATGTTTAAAACTGTCATTTCGAGTTTCGAGAACAGATTGTTTTTCGAAAGGCGCCTGTGTATTTTTGTTTGTCTGCCTTTTCCAGTGCAGATTTTTGGCGGGGCAAACACAGTTTCATTTCAAATAACCATTGACTGAACCTTGACTCAACTTTTCATTCATTTATTATGTATTTATTTTCGCAGGTGGCAAAATTCTCAAACAGAGAAAAAAAATATTTTACAGTATTCACAAGTAAACTTCCGTACTAAATGAACCTAAAATAACATTACAGGAGGGTTATGGAAGGCCAATTTACTAATCAAGCAATTAGACCTGATTAATTAACGTCTATTTAATTCGATGTTGTGTTATTCGTGTTAAATATCCCATCGTGACAAAATATACACGGGATTGGTTCGACGGTGCCATAAATAAAGCCACTTTGGTCTCCGTAAAAAGCCGTTAGACACTTTTACAAATTATTGTGACACGGTGCATTTTAGTCGAGTTAGAAGACGAACAAATTGACTTGCGTCAGCTATAGAAATAGCCCCATTATAGCGAAAGAGTGGAAATCGTTGACGAACACACTTATTTGTATTATTTTTAGATTTAACTTCAGAATTGATAATGTTTTGCGCCTTCAATTCACACGGTGACTTCCTTTTAATCGATATCGGGGCGTATTTAGAAGTTTTGAATGTAAAGTAAGTAGTAAAACATTTTTTTATGATGAATGGTAATCATTAAAACAGAGTTTCATGAAATATATTAAAAATCCTATAAATATTTATTGAATACATATCATATGTTATGTCAGTAGGTAAACATAATAATAGTAATTTTCGAATTAATTTTAATTCAGAAAATTACTTTCTTTTAATGTTGTATGGATCAACAACCTTTGAATAAAAGATACCGTATATTTTTATTAACTAATAATTCAATAACTAATATAACTTATTTTTTGATAAAATATGTTAGAAGTCAGAAGTTTATTTAGTTGTGATGTTATTCGATTATTATTGTGTTTAAATAGCTGATGCTAATAAACTTTATAATTAAATAAATTAATGTTTAAACGTGTTTTACAAAAACTCAATTTTTTCGAAAACGGCTAATTTTATCGAAAAAATGTAGAGCACCTTTTTTAAAGAGGAATGACCAAAGTATTTAAAAATTCAATTTTCAGCTCTATAAAATGACACCTGTCAAAATTTTGGCCTAATGAAAACCTACGCCACAAGTAAATAACTTCGGACAATATCTTATGATTGGTTGTGACAAAGTTAACTTCCATTTTACGATACTGACGTAACTCATTTTCTATTTACTTTACGGTTTCGTCCAATATAATTAACATTGCGAGCGAAATAAAACCCATCTAATTGAATAGATGTAAATCTGCTCCAATTATTGGCCAATGGCTTGAATTGGGTTGTGATTCTGAACCAGTTTGACCATTTTGTGAATGTTCGAATCAATCACTGTCTGTATAGACAAAGTAATCGTCTGTGGTCGTTTTGAAAAATAAAATAATTCAGTAACGGTTTGTAAGTAGAAGAGAAGGAAGGTTTAGCAAGCATATAATTAATATCTTGGTGACCGGATATGGGTTTTAGATGATAATGAAAGATATACTTACATTCAATTTATTGATGATGTATTTTACAAAAAAAAAGGTTTCCATTGATTTTTCCTCGTACCTATTCATTAAAATGCTCTGGAAAGATCCTTGTTAATATTATTCATTTGATTTCTCGGAAATATTACTGTTTTTTTTCCTACATACGCTGGTTGTAACAATATATCCGTGACAATGCTTCGCTCAATATTAAAGTCGAAAATATAAGTGGAAAGACTTGTTTTATGAGGAGTACAAGATATTTTTTCTATAATATTCGACAAGGTTGTAACGCAAGGTAGAACTGAACATATAAAATACATTTAATTGTTTGCAAAAATATTTTATTTGTTAGCAGTACATCACGGGGTGATAAGAATGACACAGAGATGGATTTGTACACACTTCTGTACTTAATAACAACGTATTACACTTGATTTTAGTTGAATCGTTGTTAGACAAAAAATAAACTACTGTAGAGACTGTGATTTTTTCTATAAATGGATACATTTTTTATATTGAAGTACATGAAATGATCAGCTCAGCTAGAGACAAATTAGGTATGGTTTCCCTAGTGCTTTGGGTGAATTTGTGTTAATTATCGTCACATATTTCGGTTTATTAGGATCATATGTCTTGCAATCTCGTCACTAGATGTCAATATTTGTGCCTCACTGAAAGTAGTTCACTGCTGTGCAAGAAGAGATTTGGAAAGTAGAAAATTGCAAGTTAGTATCGTAGATAGATTTATTATTTATATTATTGCAGGCCAAGTGCTTTTGCAATGCGACAAAATTGTCATATAGAGCATATGACCAAGTCAGAATTCTTTGCTCAACAAAATCAGACATACATAGTGAAAATCGATAACTCACTTTCGTATGTTTACGAAAACACGAGTAGCTCTGCAGCAATTGAATATATTGACTTGATATGTTTATATTTATAATAATTTGTTTCGAAAGTCGCAGAAGTTGTAGTAAAAAAATTGCAAGATAGTATGAAACTGCTTATAATGACTTCAAAAAGTAAAACGAAAATTTGGGAAACATCTGAAAATGTGTTGCTGGATTATTTTTTAATAAAATACGTGCTAATAAAACTTCTACTCTACCCCTTACATAACCTGGCAAACATGGGAATGTAAGGGAAATTCATAAAATCAATAATTAAAGTTAGGGATGTAGGAGAAAAATTCCAACTTTGTCATCTTAATAGATATCTGGATTCAAATAATGAGCATTAAAAATATGTTTTATTATTTTTAGTTTTACCTTTCCTTATTATCTAAACTCTAATAAATAACTTTGATCATTACTGCATATAATATAAGGTAACGAAGATATGGCTATTAGAACGTGATATATTTGTAATGTGATAGGGTTAGTGGGGATTGCTTTGCTATTAAGCTTTTGTCCAACTATTACTCTTATGACATATTCTAACAACCACATCTTCATCATTAGTGGTAAACTCATCAGACTTTGTATCATTGCAATCCTGAAAATGAATTCTGTTCATATGTGACATAATATAAAAGGCTTATTATTTAAAAAAATCGTAAGTTTAACTTTGCCACGTCATTCGACAGCTATAACTTAATTTCAAATATAGGGTTGCAAATATAAAAGCCTCTTATCAGGACTTTTATTAAATTCAAAAGTCAACTAAACTGTGAGAAAGAAAATTCTTATTTTGACATTGTATCTTTAAATTGGTTGGAATTTCCGCCAATAGCTTACTTTGTAAAAATGAATTATTAACTGTCTTTGACTATCATGATCGAATTCCTCCCGGAAAATATGTTGCTTCAAATTAAACATAGTTGATGGCACACCTGCTGTAGATACAATTTTTAAGTCAGGTTGGTTGCAAACTCACCCTTAGGAAGGTTACAAGGATCCAAGTACAACATTTATAACAGTAACTAGATATTTTTTTTGTACATTGTAAAAGGAATGGTGCCTCGTTCGACTTCTACACAAATAACGAATTATATTATATTAGTAAAATAATAATACCAACAACCAACAAAGCTAAATGTTATGCAAAAGACTAAGATTAACTAAGCATATGAAGGATATGTGTAGTGACAGTGCCTATAGTGTTTATCATTTATCAACTTTAGTTTATATTTCAAAAGTTAAAAGTAGAAAGCGAAGGATGGTGACTCTAAAATATATTTTTAAATATGAACGAAAAGTTTGAGGACAAAGTTAAAATTGAATCTAGTGAAGTGCACATAGTTATGGCAAAAAATCACTTATTACTGTCTATGTAACTGGTCATCATCCTAGTATTAACAACTGGATAAACATTTTTGGTAAGCTAAAAACTGTACTGAAGATGGTCTTGCAGCAATTCATAAGAAGTTGTCAAAAAACTTACTAAACAAATACAACCTTTCTAGAGCCTATTTTTGTTATTTCTATTTCTATTTTTCTCCTCTTCAACATTTACACATAAGCCAATTAATAGAAGTTTTGTTTACGACAAATACTAGTAGTAAACGGACTGTGCCATCATATAAAAGACAGTCTGTAGATCCTTATGTTTCCTACTCCAATTTACCATTAATTAATTTTTTATAAACATTTTATTGCGAAAAAACGCATTCTGTTAATTCTTTGTTTATAAATCTAAACTAATGAAGCAATCTGAATGCTATAAAGAGACAATTTGTAGAGAATCGAATTACAATTAAAACGAGAAGTCGATCGATCCTATCGGGTAATTAGAAACGAAGAAAACCCGGAAAAATTGTAAAATTTAGCATTTTTTTAAACAATCATTTTTTAAGTTGTAGAACTGACCCTGTGCACAAAAGTAGTGAATTATATGTACTTTAAGTGTGCACAAAACAGGCGCTGTCGGACCATTAGTTTTGGTTCATAAAAAAATAATTAATGGTAAATTGGAGTAGGAAACTTAAGCATCTACAGACTAGACTGTCTTTTATATGATGGCACAGTCCATTTGCTACCAGTATTTTTGTCGCAAAATCGCTGTTTTAAGGCTCTACTGATCGGCCTAGCAAATGAATCGCGTTGATGGTAATTTGCATGCGATTGCGACTGGTAAATCTCTGGGTTTGTTTCAGAAAAATGCCTGTCGCTGGAGAGGCCGTCGGGAGGAGGCAAGGGAAAGAAGATGCGGAAGCCCCGCACGATATACTCCAGTCTTCAGCTGCAACAATTGAACCGACGGTTCCAAAGAACGCAGTACCTGGCGCTACCCGAAAGGGCAGAGCTCGCCGCCAGCCTAGGTTTAACGCAGACGCAGGTCAGTTTAATTAAAAAACTTTAATATTTCCCCTTCCTCGAATTAATCCATTAAGCCGAAACGTTCCCAATTAATATTTCTTGAATACTCCTCGCGGACCAACACCTCCACATACCCGAACTAATTCTTCGTTTAATTGGAATCCACAACGTCGGAAATCAAAGGTGGAACGTTGAAAAAATCATTTGAACCACCAGTTTACCATGTTCATTTCATTTAAACGGAACAATCTTATTTGCATATCGAAAACTCGTAAAATTTTTATAAAAATTACGTATTAGAACACTACGCTGCATTATTATGTCGCAAATGTATCTAAACATGTGGTCTGCTATACCGATAACAGAGTTTTCTACATACAGACAGTAAAATTACACCGAATGATAAAGTGATTAAACTGATCAGTGTAAATGCACAACTGAAGTAAAATACAACATAAATACATTTCGCTAACTGTGTGAAAAAAGTAGGAATACGAGTATAAACGGACCTACTGTGACGATCCAAAAAATTTAAATAAAATTTGGGACACTTGGTGTTAAATGGGATGAGGTAAGCTCCATTTTCAATCGAAAGTATTATCTTTCTGATTTGACAGAAACGACTAAAGAACTCATCAATTATATTTTTCCAGAAACATACCCAAATTTTTTTCCTGTTAAAAAGTTCTCTTTTTTTCTAACAAACTTTTATTAAAGAAATTTTTCTGAATTACTTCCCGTTTAAAAGTTATAATAGTACAGTCATTGAAGCTTAAAATGAACTGTAACCTCCGAATTCTTTGAAACTGCATGGATTTGCATGAAAATTTAGAATAAGGCTCATCGTAGGCTCAAGTTCAAAAGTGACATAAGCCCGATTGACGCTTTTTTGTTTTTTAGGGGTAAAAACTACCCCTAAGTGGAAAAAAATTGAAAAAATTAAGTTTTAAGCATTTTATTGATAAAAATCTTGTTCAAGCACAAAGATTAAATATTGTTCCATGTTCTCGAACATGTTTTATGATATATTCGATCTTTTCGACCGTTTATTTAACCCTTAAAGACTACCGCTATGCAAAAATTAATGATAAAAAATTACTTTTTAAAGATTTGGAATGATTAAAGCGTGCAATTATTTAAAATAAAAATTGCCTTACAGCTAATAAAAGAATTTTTCCATTTTAACCCCTAAAAATCATCCCTGTATTGACAAAAATGATATAAAAATTACTTTTTAAAAGCTTGGAATACTTTAACGATGCAACTATTTAAAATAAAAATTCCCTCATTGCTTATGAAAGAATTACATTTTAAATTTTGGAATGCTATAATTGTGCAATAATTTAAAATAAAAATTCCCTTATGTTGTTTATGAAAGGATATTTTACTTTTGCCATTTTCAACTCATAAACCAATATTAATGTAAAATATTTTTATTATAATCGATTTTTAAATATAATCAATCATAAAAAAATTTCTACGCTGCATATAAATAATCACACTAAATTTTTTTACTTATTTTATTTGTATAATATAATATATAATATATAAAAGTGAGAAAGCCTATTTTGCTCCGAAAAAATGTCATTGGTTTTTTACCATACTCGGGTAATTTTGAACCTATAGTATCCTACAAGAAAGTATTTTAAAGATAATTTCAAGAGCTGTAAGATCGTTTGCATATAAAACCTTTTAGGTCCTCCATTTTTTAAAGGGAAAGGATCGAAGGGCTCGAGACAGGTCGTTTTTTCACTAAAATGAATACTTCAAGCGGTGATATCTTCTTAATTTTTTATGCTATAGGAATAAAAAAACTAAATATTTTGTTTTTACGTATCTTTCGTAGTTTCAGAGTTATTATATAAATAAGGCAATTTTTTTGGAATAATGAAAAATACGTTTTCAACTTTTACCGTACATTATTAAAAAAATACGCATTCTAAACCGGTCTAACTTCAGGATCGTATGAAAAACACTAAAACAAAACTAATTGTAAAGGGTCTACGATTAATTTTAATTCTGATGGAAATGGTACATCGTTTACTGCT